TCGTATAACTTGTGGAGGTCTCACAACACAGAGCACGCAATACCCTTCTTATCCTTCCTGCTCGTCGCATGTTCCGAACGCACAGCTTGCCTCCATACAACATCCCCAGCCCCGGTGAAAGCTCCTGCACTGAGGTACGATTTATTGAACCTGGCCTCCCATTGGACAGCGCACGGTCTCCTCATCCTCCCCCATAACCGATATGCCGAGCTAAACAATCCGATGGGTCTCCACCCACCAGCAGGCTTGGGCAGAAGCGCAACCATGATGGCTCGCCGGTGGTTGGGCAAGAGGGAGGATGCTTCCATGCTGCTGATGATACTCATTAACGCCACCAGCGCGTCATCACAGAGCGAGGCATAATGACGCATATGGAAGCCGTCGACACTGGTGGCCGTGCGAGCGGGGTACGACATGGCAACTTCTCTCAGCAAGTCGGGCGACTCGAAGGGGAGCGGATCCTGATACTCGATGGGCTCTTGCTTGGGGGGCTCCACTGTGGCCCTCCATAACCCACAGAAACGGGCAGCCTCCGAATGAAGAAGAGCTTGGGGATCAGATAAGACAACACCCTTAGCCGACAGAGTAGAACATGGGGACCACGGGGCGACTTCTTTGGTCCACCAATGGGCTCTACGGGCACCTTTTGAAACGCCTTCCAGGATCCAGGACTTCCAAGACTTGTTCGCCACCTCGCGCTGCTTGATGGAAAACTCACCCAGGAACTCCGAAACCTCGTCCAGGATACTAGCACCATCAATAATCAAACCTTCTAAACCTTCAGTCTCACCAGGAACATCACGAGGAATACAACCTGTAGAACCGTCGCCCTTGGTCGAGTTGAACAGGTTGCTTTTCCCACGGCAAGAGGGAGGGTTCAATCTCATACATCGTTGAACAAACTGCTGCACCTTCTCCCAGCTGCCCTGGCAGACCCCCATGCTGTCGACTATGATGTCGGGGGGGTGGAGGAGGAAGTTGCCGGAGTCGAGGGCCGAGCCCTTCACGTCGCAGCCGAGGTTCGAGCATAAAATGCGCAGGGTGCTCCCCAAACAACGAACTCCGTGCACATCAGGCTGCCGTGAAGTGCGCCTATCTTTATCCAAAACAGAGCGCCATGCAAGCTTGGGCAACCTGCCACGGGTGCCTAAAACAGGAAGAGAACACTGACGATTGGCGGCCAACTCTCTCTCCGCCGTGTTAGCCCAAAGCTTATGTAACATATTAAGGTGACGCTGCAAACACTGTCTGGGGACACGGTTACGCACCAACCCCAAACCATAAGACGCACAGTCCAAAACATCCGTCCAGTCTAGAGGGGCAGGGGCAGGGCCAATAGGGGGCTCAATCGGGATGGGGGGAGGGTTAACAAACCCCAAAGCCTGCAAACTGGCCAGCTGAGGGAAGAAACTCAACTGCACGGGCTTGCGCGGCTTGGTGGCCGCCTCCAAGCAGACACGGGTGGCCTTCACGGCCTGCGAGAGCCCGCTGGAAACCAGGAAATAGTCGAGCATGCGGACTCCTTCCTTGCTCGTGCCCGCGCAGGTGCCCTTGGATTCAGGCGCGACCAGGTTGGCACTGAGCACCGAGACCAAATCGCATGAAGCCAGAACATCAGGCTCCATCTGGAAGTCCGCACCCAAGATGAACGGACCAGGAAAAGATGATAATTCAGCACCGAGCTTGCACAAGATACCCAGATTGGACTCGGAGAGGCCCTCGGAGTCCCTGAGATACGCGGAGACCACAAGGATAGAGACTCCGCCTGGGATCTGAACAATAGCTGAAGCAGCACGATGAGGAACCAGAGTGGGGCCCACCTTAGGCGAGACGTCATGACAGCCCAAGAAGTCCCTGACGAAGATGCCCACTCCACCAGAGGTCCCGAGCCCTATACCTGGGGCCGCTGGGACGAGCCTGGACTTCCAGCCTGAGCGGAGGCCCCATTGGGAGGCCTCGCCAACCAGATCACCCAGAAGATGATGTTCTTGAACAAGCACCACATGAGCCGTCGTACGACTCAACCACGCTTTCGCCGCATTCCAACCCGTGCAGTTAGCTGTCTCCACGACCAAATCAAAACTGTCGAGATCCGAGCAAGCTGGGGCCCAGAGACAACTGCCAAAATTCAAGGACGGAGCCTTGGGGGCGGGAACACGGCACAGCCTGGCAATAGAAGGTGAAACATGCAAAAAGTCACCCCCCGACACGCTGCTCACGTGAGCCTTAGGCGTCGGGGGGGGGGTTGTTTGAGAAGGCGGCTCAGGCTGCATCCTGTTGGCGAGCATCTCCTGCGCGAGCTGCCGAACGTCAGGATGTGGGGCAGCATCAGCCTCATGAGCTCCCCCGTGGTCTCCAGAAGAGCTGCTGTCTGCACTTCCTCCTCCACTGGCGGAGTCCTCATGAACTCCATCCGCTGCATCTCCAAGCTCCTGCGGTGGACGAGCACCAGCGGGGCTGCTGCCCCGCGCGATCTTCTCAGCAGGCTGGACGGAAGTCTCTTCAGGCTTCCTCTTGTGGAGCTTGGACATGTGCTGGCGGTGGGAGGCTTTGATCTGGTCCACAGACTGCTGAACCTTCTCAAACAATTGCTTCGTGATGGCGACCACACTCTGCTCCAGCTCGCGTTTCCTGGCCTCGAACTGGTTGTGGTCGTCGGCTGAGAGCTCGTACTCCTTAGCGTCGAGGCCGAGGATGCCTTCACCGTAGTCGATGGTGAGGGCCCCTTCCTTACCGTCGAGGATGTCACGCAGGCAGAGCTTGCCAACAGACCGAGGAGGATCAGGATGCACCACATGATGCAGCTGCTCGACCAAGGCTTTGTGCTCCTTGTCGGCCTCGGACAGCTCGGCAGTGAGTTTGGCGATAGCTTCTTCGCATTGATACACCCACTTCCTCGCCCTGGCGACGTCATCAATCTCCTTCTTGAGGCGGCGCTCGATGGAATGCACACGCTGGCGCGCCTCCTCAGTTTGCTTTTCCAGGGCTTGGGTGGGATCTCCTTGGGTTTCTTAGCTGCAAGCCACACCTTATACTGAGAAGCTGCAATAGAGTCACCGAACTTCTCAGCCAGCGCGAGCAACTGCTTGACATCGTCTTCAGTCGCTGTGTCTGGGACCGTGATGGCTGCTGGCGACAGGTGCGGAGGGCCCCGCTGCCAACTTCCACGAGGCGCAGGAACATCACGCACAGGCACATCGACACGTTCACGCTTGCAGTGCTTACAAAACCACCACTTGGCAAGATTTTTTCCACACCCACAATCCTCATAGCTGCACTTCCACATCGCCTGGCGACCGCCTCCGCGATGCTGGGCGTCCTCTCCGTCGACACCTGCGGCAAAGCGAACACGCTTGGCCCACGGCCGCTCCTCCCAAGGCGAGGCCTTCGGCGGCGGCACCATTGCGACTGCTGGAAGTGGCGGGACGTGGCTGGAGGAACCGAGAGCCAGAATGACTCGCTGAGGAGGAGGAGGAGGAGGATTAGGAGGAGGAGGAGGAGGAGGAGGAGGAGGAGGCGGAGGAGGAGGAGGAGGGGGAGGGGGGGAGGAGGAGGAGGAGGAGGAGGAGGAGGAGGAGGAGGAGGAGGAGGAGGAGGAGGAGGAGGAGGAGGAGGAGGAGGAGGAGGAGGAGGAGGAGGAGGACGAGGAGGAGGGGGAGGAGGAGGAGGAGGAGGTGGAGGAGGACAGAGGACAGAGGAGGGCCAGTTGAGACGGCGGCGGCTCTCCCGCCTGGCCCAGATCCACCCGCATCGGGCCCCCGGATCTGCACGAGTTCCCCCGAGGCCGTAGGCGACCCGAGGGAGGAGGAGGAGGAGAAGGGAGGAGGAGGAGGAGGAGGAGGAGGAGGAGGAGGAGGAGGAGGAGGAGGAGGAGGAGGAGGAGGAGGAGGAGGAGGAGGAGGAGGAGGGAGGAGGAGGAGGAGGAGAGGAGGGGAGGAGGAGGAGGAGGAGGAGGAGGAGGAGGAGGAGGAGGAGGAGGAGGAGGAGGAGGGAGGAGGAGGAGGAGGAGGAGGAGGAGGAGGAGGAGGAGGAGGAGGAGGAGGAGAGGAGGAGGAGGAGGAGGGAGGAGGAGGAGGAGGAGGAGGAGGGGAGGAGGAGGAGGAGGAGGAGGAGGAGGAGGAGGGAGGAGGAGGAGGAGGAGGAGGGAGGAGGAGGAGGAGGAGGGAGGAGGAGGAGGAGGAGGCGGAGGAGGCGGGAGGAGGGAGGAGGAGGGCGGGTCGCCCAGGCCCTTCGGAGAAACCCTCCACCCGGATCCCCCTCCAGGGGTCCATGCTGACCCGTCTTCCAGGGCGGATCCGACCGAGGCGACGGCCCCCCCCCCCGCGGAGGCCGACGGAGAGGAGGGCCGCCGCTGTCTCAGCTGACCCGACCCACCAGCCGATGGGCAAAATCCCGCACCTCCTCCTCCTCCTCCTCCTCCTCCTCCTCCTCCTTCCCGCACCCGTCCTCCCTCCCTCTCCTCCTCCCTCCCTCTCCTCCTCCTCCTCTCCTCCTCCTCCTCCTCCTCCTCCCTCCTCCTCCCTCCTTCCCGCACCCCTCCTCCTCCTCTTCCTCCTCCTCCTCCTCCTTGCCGCACCCCTCCTCCTCCTCTCCTCCTCCTCCTGCCCCTCATCCTCAGATGGGGGGGGGGGCCCTGGAGAGGAACACATCATCTGGCGCGCACGACCGGGAGGGGGAGGGCGCACGACAGTTGATGGGCAAAAACCTGAACCTTTCGGGCCGATTCGTGTGAGCACCCCCCGCGCCACCAACTCAGTATTGGCAGGCTGCGCTGTGTCAACGTGTCGACTGGCCGAAAACCTGCACCCCGCTGGCAACGCCGACGAGGACGGAATCGGGGGCAGGAGCGGGGGCCGTTGAGGTTCGCGCCGGCACCCTGGTCACGCTGGTGGTGCGGGATTTGGTCCATCGGCCGTCCCTCGACAGCACACGTCCGGAGGACCATCGCGGCTCGCGCACGCCCTGCTGTACTGCCACAACATCTGGCACATGCTGCACCAGGGCGTGCGAACGAAAAGAAGGAGGAGGAGGAGGAGGTGGAGGAGGAGGAGGAGGAGGATGAGGAGGAGGATAGGAGGAGAAGGAGGCCGCGGCGGCGCTGTTTTGCTCGGGGACGAGCGGCAGAACAGGGCGGCGCCCGCAGACGCCGAGCACTATAAGAGCACGTCGACGGGCGGGCGGGGCGGCCGGCACCGCGGGTGCTGGCGAGAGTGGCCCGCTCTGCCCCGCAGGAGGGAGGAGGAGAGGAGAGGAGAGGAGAGGAGAGGAGAGGGGAGGAGAGGAGAGGAGAGGAGGAGGAGGAGGAGGACAAGGAAGAGGAGAATGAGGAGGCGATGATGATATGATGATGGTGATGATGATGGTAATGACGATGATGACGATGACGATGATGGTGATGATGATGACGTTGATGACGATGATGACAATCTTGCACGGTTGATGACAATGACGATGACGATGGCGATGATAAATGTGATGTTGTTTCGACTGATGGTGATGCTGTTTATGATGGTGATGCAGGCGATGACGGCGATGACGATGAGGACGATGATGAGGCAAACATTGCGATAATAATGATAAGCAGTAACTATGATGATGATGATGATGATGATGATGATGATGATGTTGTTGATGCGGATGATGATACTGAGGAGGACACGCAGCGGCGGAGGAGGAAGGATGAGGATAAGGAGCGCAATAAAGAGAAACGACGATGAATTGATGATGATGAGGATGACGATGACGATGACGATTGTGATGACGATGATGATGCTGCTGATGATGATATGGATGATGATGATGATGGTGATGATGATGATGGTGGTGATTGCTGATGATGATGAGGATGATGAGCAGGATGCTGATAGTGATGATGATGATGATGCTGGTGATGGGGATTACGCTGTTGCTGATGATGATGACGACGGCGGTGATGATGAAACTGATGGCGGTGATGGTGATGGTGGTGGTGCTGATGTTGATGTCGATGCTTCTAATGATGCGGATGATGACATTGACGATGGCGATGACGATGATGGTGGCGATGAGGTTGATGATGACGGGGGTGATGATGACGATTACGACGGTGCGGATGCTAATGATGATGCGGTGAGGAGGGAGGCTGAGGAGGAGGAGGAGGAATCTGAACAGTATGATGAGGGTGATAGAACATGAGGACGGAAGAGAAAAGACGGAGGAAGAGGAAGGGGGAAAAGGAAGAGGGAAAAGAGGAGGATGGCGATAGCGATGACGATGACGATGCGGATTAATGATGCTAGGGATGCTGATGATGCGTAGGATAAGTATGATTATGATTGTGATGGCGATGATGATGGCGATAACTATGGTGATGACGATCACAACAATAAGGATCATGATGAGGATAAGGATGAACATGCTGATGGCCGTGATGGTGATGATGATGAGAATATTCAGCCGTCCTCCATTACAAACAAAACCCTGATCTTTTTCATCCGCACGTGGTGACACTGCAAACAACGCAAACTTGAAATCGCCCCACCGTGTACACACAACACAGCAATCACACATATCCGCGCAGCCCAAACAGCAGCTCGCGGCCAGCCGCAAGCAAGGATGGGCCTGGGCGCGTACCACGACTGGGTCGGGAAGCTTGAGCAAGAGTATACGGACATCATTGATTCATCTCCTACACGTTCACAAGGCAAGTCGGGGATCCCCCACCCATCTTTCACTACTGACCTCTGGTATTTGTCATTCGAATGTGGCGACCCCGCAGACTGCGCAAACCTGAAATCAAGTCGACGTGTACATACAACACAACATGTGCGCAAATCCGGGACGCCACTCAAGGCGCCAAAAGTCGCATCCGGCCCCCTGCCGCCATTCATCTTGGGGGTCGCTCTGGCAGAACGGGCACGGCCGGATTGTTCACCGATAAGCCCTAACGAACGCAGCGTCTCATAACGCGTCTGCCATGCAGCTGGCAAACACTTTGGGGCGAACGGCGGCCCGAACGGTCCAGCGCACGCCCCGGCCGTCACGGCGTTGCAGGATCTGGGGAATGACCTCAGAGAAAGACCAGATCCCACGGAAAGCCGGCAACGCTTGCAAAGATCATCGGCCCTCGGCAACAAAAGCAACGGAACGTGGTAGGCTTGCATCCAGGGGCGCCCTAGCCGCAATAGTTGTTTGCAACGTCAAGGGCCCCAGGTCAATCCAGACACTTGATGGCGGCAGACGCTTTCTGCATGTAGGATGACTGAGGACTCTCCCACAACCGGCCACCTGGAAAAATGCACGTTGCCCTCGTCCACTAAGACTTGCAAGTGGGGAGGGAGAGCGGGAAAGCCAAGACGACATTAGGATGTTCGAATGAGTTACGGCCCCCACGTGCCATGGAAAACTGCGCACAATGCGCACCTGCCACGCGCGCGTTGGACTTGGACACCCTAATCGCAAGGCGGCACGCGGCAGGCCTCGAGAGGTCACATCGGGGCCCCTGGAGCACGTCGAAAGGGTGCGCTCTGAAGCCACGACGACGAAGCGAATTCAAATGATCTTCGGACCGAGAAGAGATCTCAAACACAAGCTCGTTGCGTCTGGTGCGGGGGTCGCTGAGCAGCTGGCGCATGGCGAGCCGACGGCGAGCAGCGAAGGCAGCTCGGGCTCGGCCTTGAGGCAGTAGTCCTTCGTCTGCTTCCTCACCCCGTTCCAGGCGGTCTGAAACGATTTTTTCTCGTGGCACCTGGCGGTTCGGAGCGACGCCAGCGGCCGCGCCGCTGCGCCTCCTGCAGCAAGATCCACTTCGCGAAACGGTCAATGGAGGCGCCTCTGTGCCTGGCCGCGTAGAGCACGGGCAGCAGCTTGTCCATGCCGAGGGGGGCGGTCGCGCGGTCGAAGGTCGCCTTGGCCTCTGCCACGGTGAAACTCCGGCGTGGGCTGCTCGGCGGGCCCTGGGCAAGCTGCGCCGCGAGGCTCGCTGGCCGCGGCCTCGCCGCGTCCACTGGCTCGCACGTCTCTCCAACCTTGCTGGGCATTCTCGCGCAGTCAGGCTCGATGCGCATCGCCACCCCGGGCATCTTCGCCCGCGGTGGAAAGGCGCGGCCTCGCATGAGGCGGCGAGCCTCGCCGGGCCGCAGGTCGGCGTCCGCCGCTGGGGGCCAGGGCGCCGACAGGCCGCGCCGGCCGCTAAGGTGCCGCAGCCGCCGCGCCACGCCTATGCAAGCCATCCGGGGCAGACGGCGACGCGTTCATGAGGGGCGCGTCAAGGCCGGCGGCGGGGGTCGCGAAGGGGCCCGGGGAGACTGCGGGTCAAGAAAAGATCCATCAGCTCCGCGCGCACTGCCGGCGGCTCCGCCCCAAAGCGGCAGCCGCCTCGGCGACGAAGGGCTGGCGGGTGGCGCCCCGCGCCAGGCGGGGGCGCGCAGACCTCGGCAGCTCGCGTCGCAAGGCGCGGCTCCGGGGCGCCAGCGCCACCGACGCCAAGTCGGGCTGGCGCCGCCTCGCCGGCGCTGCTCGCTCGGGCCGCGGCGCTGGTCGCGCCTGCGCTGGGCCCCAGGCGCGCCGCGCCTCGGGCGCCCGGGCGGGGCCGCTGACGAAGCCGCCGCGAGGCGCAGCGGCCGCGGCGGCCGCCGGAGGGCGCAGCCCTGGCGGAGCCGACAGGGTCGCGCGGCAGCCGCCTTCGGCGCGGCCCCCGTCCTCGGCGCCCCTCGGGGCAAGGCGGCGGGAATGGGGCTGTCGGCCGCGCGCGGCGGTCTCGCGCCAGGCTGATCGACGCGCGGAGCGCCCGCCAGTGCCCTCGCGGACGCGGCCGTCAGAGTCGGAGGCGCTCGGCTCGCTGGGCGCCCATCGCCGATGCGCGCGGGCGGCCGAGGCGAGGATCAAAGCCACCCCATCGGCAAATAATACTGAGCATATACACATAGACACACGAGTACATATATATATATATATATATATATATATATATATATGCACCGCGGCGACGACCTTGCGAGAGTGCGAGGGCAAGAGCAATATTGCCCCCCAGTGCCGCGCGTTTCTTCCCCCAGGAATCCGCGTCCGACAAGGTCAGCTTTGCGGCGGCGCGCGCGCTTCCCCCGGCTTCTTTCCGACGCATGCGCTCATTCCCGAACGGGGGCGACAAGTGCGCGGTGGCTTGGCGCGGCGGACGGCGCGCGTCGACACTTCGGGGGAAGATGAGCGAACTGGCCCTCGCTGACCGACGACGCGCGCGACGTCGCGACTCGCGACGCGGGAGGGCGCCGCGCGGGGCAGCCGAGCCCCGCGCGCAGCTTCCAGAATCTACGCGGCGCCAGGGTGGCGCGAGCGGGCGAACCCCCATGCTGCCCGCCAAGCGTGGTCATGTTCTCGGCGGCGTCGGTCTCGCCGCGAACGGCGAGCCCTGCGCGCTCGATGGCCATGGAAGCCTCGCGTCTGATGCCACTGACCGCATCGCTGTCAACGCCAGCAACCAGCACGTTGTCGACGTAGATCGAGTGGACGGGCTACTCCAGAGGGGCGGGCGCCGGCGCGAAGTCCACGGCCCGCAGCTCGGGCAGCTCGGGCTTCAGGGTCTCGCACTGGCCCAGAGTCCTCTCGCAAGCCTTCTGCGCGAAGTAGAGGGTCCAGCTCCGCCCCGTAGAAAGCGCGGCCAATTGTGGGCAGAGAGAAGCCCGGGGCGGGGCGATGCCGAGCTCGCCCGCGGCCGCCTTCGACGGGCAGGAGCGCGGCCGCAGGGGGCTGGCGACTTGCGCTGGTAAATGGCGCTCTGGACGTCCACGCCCGCGAAGAAGAGGGGCGCGTCCTTCGGCGCCTCGAGGCCCGCAGACCCCGCGACGGGGGGGGGGCTGGGCCCTCTGGTCGCTGCGCCGGCGCCCCAACGCTTCTCTGATCCGATCGCCCTTCTTGGCCGCGAAGCAGGCCGAGACGCCCTCGGCCCCATTCCGCTGGGGCGAAGGCGCCGCGCGAGAGGCCGTCCTTGACGAGTGCAACGCAAGAAGACTTCTCGCGTTCGAGCACGCGGTCCACATGCGACGTTTTCGTCGAAGCTGAGCGGCGGCAGAAGCAGAGCCTGGCCGAGGTCCAAGCGAGAGCGTCGGTCACCAGCGCCCAGCCGGCGCGAGAGCCGCTGGGGCTCGCGCCCCAGCGCGGGCCCGCTTGCGAGGCGCGGGGCGCAAGGCCTCAGCGGCAAGTAATTGGTTGCGTCGCAGCGGAGACACGGGCGGCCCGAAAACTCCGAGCAGGCCCCCATGGGCCGACGCAGTCGGAGCGGCCGCCATCTCGCGGTGAAGGCCCCGAATGCGTCGATGCAAAAGACGGCTCAATGCTGAGAGGCGCTCCGGCGCGACCCGCGGCGCGGCGTAGCCCCCGATCAAGTCGGGGCACTCCGCGGGGCCCCGAGCGCGCTCCTCAATCAGCTGGGCGCGGGAAAGACGCGGCAGAACTGAGCGGGGGAGATCGGGCGGAGAAGGAAGATGGCGCTGCGACGCAGACGCGGCAAAAAGTGGCGCGCCGTCGCCAAGACATTGGACGTCAGCCGGCCCGCGAAACTGGGCCTCAAGAAACGGCGGTCGGTCCGAGCCGACCCCCGACCGCCGGCCCGAGGTCGCCCCGAGCCATTTCGCCGTCGGCGCGGCGGCCGTCGGGGGCGCCGCCGCGGTCGACGACGCAGTCGCGCAACCGCTTGTAGCTCCTCTTCCCCGCCGCGGAAGTCATCGAGCACCTTTTGCTTCATGGCAGGCGACGCCTCGCGAGAATCCCGATGGCGACGGCGACGCGGGCCAGCGCGGCGGGGGCGACGCTCGGCTGGGCGGGGCCGACGCCCCGCCGACGGCCGGCAGAAGCGCCGATGATCTCACGGACGAGCGCCCCTCTCCGCCTGGCGCCGCCTGGGTCATCATGAAGACGGTCGCCAACGAATGCCAGCAGTTTGGCGAAGTGACTCCGAGAGCTGGCGACGTGCTGTGGGGAGAGAGCGGGCTTCGCGGTGCGCCAGGATGGGACATTGTGCCCATCGAGCTCCATCCCGTTCCCCCCCCCCCGACCACGCAGCCCGATGGAAGGGCGGATGCGCGGGCAGCGCGGGCGCGGACGAGACCTTGCCTGCATCCCGCACTAAGAAACCAGCACCTCGCTGAAGCTGACGGCCTGTATCCGGCGGGGCTGGTCACCATAGCGCATGAAATAAGGAGGGTCGTGCGCAACCAGGCCCGCAGCTGGCGCGCCGGCGCGGGCGTCACGAAACATCATTATCAGCTCGGCCTCGGTGGGGTACTGCCGGAATCGATAGACTCGGCCAAGCGGACGCACGCGTGCGGGCGTCGCTCCTGTGGTGAGGGATGCGCGGCTTGGCCCGTCGCCGTCGGCGCCCGCGGCCACCTGCTCGTCGTAGATGCCTCCGTCGGGAGCGAGGGAGGTCCAGCTCGTGGGTTGAATGGAACCTGTCGCAAGCCAAAGGAGCAGCCTCTCATGCCAGTTGCCTGGGTCGTCTTCGTTGTAAACGCTGCTCGCCCGCCCTGGCACCAGCTCATTGAAGAACTCCTTCACCTTGGCGACGGTCCCGTCGGCCGAGGTCCAGCTGAGGCTTGCGGCCAGCACGGACATTTCGACGACGTCCGAGAGTACAGAAACCGATGAGGTTGGTGAAGAACAGCGTCACGAAGACGCCCCCCGTGTGCACGAAGAGGGGGTCGATGTGATCGTGGCGTGGCGAACCCGACTGGCAGGTTAGCAAAGGCCGTCCTGAACTGGCTGAGAGAGGCGTAGCAATCGGAGAGGTTGGCGACGCACACCGCGGTGACCTCTGCCTTTTGCGCCGAAAACCTCTGCGCAGCCTCGGCCGCCCGCCCAAGCCTGGCCGCCACGCGTCGAAAGCGCACCAGACAGCAGCCACGATGACGGCCGAAAGGAGGGAGGGCGCATGCGTCTCGGGTGCGCTTGAGGCGAAAAAGGCTTGAGCGAGAGAATGCGAACACATGTGATTCATCTCCTACACCTTCACAGGAATAGTCGGATGATGAAGGCGACGACGACGAGTAAGAGGGGGATGATGATGAGGATGAGGATGACGATTGGGATGCTGGTGATGATGATTATGATGATGCGGCTGATGATGGTGCTGATGATGATGACGATGATGATGTTGCTGATGCTGATGCTGATGATGATGAAAATGATGATAATGCTGATGATGCTGATGACGATGACGGTGATGACGATGATGGTGGTGATCAGGGCGATGATGCTGATAATGGTGATGATGCTGATGACGATGATGAAGATGATGATGCTGATGATGATGATGATGATGATGAGGAGGAGGAGGAGAAGAAGGATGAGGAGGAGAAGGAGGAGGATGACGATGACTAAGAGGAAAAGGAATACTAGGATGAAGAAGGATGATAATGAGGAAGGGGGAGGAGGAGAAACATAGTAATAATAATGAGGAGGAGGAGGAAGAGGAGGAAGAGGGTGGAGAAAAGAGGAGGAGGAGGAAGAGGAAGAGGAGGAGGAGGAGGAGGAGGAGGGGGAGGAGGAGGAGGAGGAGGAGGGTGGAGGAATGAGGAGGAGGAAGCGGGAGGAGGAGGAGGAGGAGGAGGAGGAGGAGGGAGGAGGACGAGGAAGAGGGGGGGCGATTAGCATGGCGAGGACGACGAGGACGAGGACAGGGACGCAGAGGCGGGCGGAGCGAGGCCAACGCTCGACGGCACATGTGGCCTGGCCGCCCCCCCTGGCGCGGAGTGGAGGCTGCGACCCGCCGAGCGTGGCCGCCCTGGGAAAAAAACCTCGCCTGCAGGGAACAAAGGATGGCGAAGAAGAGGGGGGGACAGAAACGGAGGAGGAGGAGGAGGAGGAGGAAGCGGAGGAGGAGGAAGGAGAGAGGAGGAGGAGGAGGAGGAGGAGGAGGAGGAGGAGGAGGAGGAGGAGGAGGAGGCGGATGAGAGAGGTGGAGAGGAGGAGGAGGAGAGAAGGAGGAGCAGGATGAGGAGGAGGGAGATGAGCAGGAGCAGGAGCAGGAGCAGGAACAGGAGCAGGAGCAGGAGCAGGAGCAGGAGGAGGAGGAGGAGGAGGAGGAGGAGGAGGAGGAGGAGGAGGAGGAGAGAGGACGAGGAGGAGGACGAGGAGGAGGAGGAAGAAAAGGAGGAACGGGTTTGTGCTGGTGGGGCTAGGGGGGGGTCAGTGTGACTAGCAGCCAACGGCCTCGCGCCGAAGGGGCGCGATAAAGGAGAGGGAGGGCGAGGGGGAGGGGAGGCAGGGAAAAGGGGAAAGGAGGAAAGGGGAGGGGGGGGGCCGAGGGAGAAAGGGAGGGGAGGGAGGGAGGGAGGCGAGACGAGAATCAGCAAACAGGGGGGACGAGGGCGAGGAAAGGGAAGGGGGATGGTGGAGGAAGAGGGACCGCGCGTGACTGATGAGCAACAAGGGGCCCCGAAAAAACCCGGACGAAAACGGTGCCCACCACGCGGCACTGACGACTGGATCTGTTTCGGGGGCGGCCAAGAGGGGGGCGTCCAACGGGGGGGGGCGCAAATCATGGCTAGCGGCATGTGCGCGGCCCAGGGGGGGACCCAGGGACGTGATGAAAGAAGAAGAGGCGCCACGAAATGTGGGGAAGCATCATGGCCCACGCCATGATATCCACCCCCCTAGTCATCACCCCCCTCTTGGCGGCCCCCGAGATATGTTGGGTCCTTCACCAGGAAAACTTTTCAAATCGAATGGGACGGTCCCAGGATGGGAGGGTTCGGAGCGGGTCCCGATCGGCCGGCTAGGTGGCGAAGTAGGAACGCGTACGAATAAGGGATAGGGATGATGATGATGATGATGATGAGGAGGAGGAGGAGGAGGAGGAAGAGGAAGAGGAGGACGGAGTAGACAGGGGGAGGAGGGGGACGAAAAGGAGGGAGGAGGACGAGTAGGGTGGAGGGGGGGAGGAGAGTGGGGGAGGACGAGGGAAGAGGACGAGGAGGAGGGGGACGAGGAGAGGCGAGGAGGAGGAGGAGGAACAATATAAGCTCATGGCTCAGCAACGATGTTGCAATAAACCCTCATCCAAATTCCCTCTTCGAGGCCCCCTACACTAAGTGATTGTCACTGCGGGGAAACCTCACTGGAAGACAACCGCATCAGAATCCCCAACCGCACCAACATACCATTCCTGGAAGTTCAACGCCGCGAATCGGCCTTGCTGCTGCGTCCTGACAACCCCGACGCCGTGCCGCACCACTCCTGGGACCTTCAACCGTACGACGAGTACTCCAAACTGCTGCAAGGCTTGCAAGACGACCGTGCGCGGCGCTGCGGCGAGAGCAACATCTCGAACCTGGGCCGCCCTCCACCCGAAAGCTTGCTGCACTGCTGCAAGCGTTCAGAGGCGAGAGTGCGCGGCGCCGAGGCGAGAATCACATAATGAAGACCACCCGCCCTCCTCCCTTGAGGGTGGGCGCTCAAGCGAGAGCCACACTTTGAACACCACCGCCCTCCATCCTCGAAAGTGCTGGCAGCTTTAAAAAAAAGAGGCTGCGCGGCGCCAAAGCGAGAGCCACATGCTGAAAACCACCCGACCTCCATCCTCGAAGTTCTTGCAAACTTCAGACGTAAGGATCCTAAGTGGTGGGGAGTCTCGGGCGAAAGCCCAGCCCGCCCCACGGTCACGCCTTCGGGTGCGACAGGGAGGCATTCATTCACATGGAAAGTCGACGGAGGAGGAGGAGGAGGAGGAGCCAGAAGGAAGAGGAGGAGGAGGAGCGAAGGTGGGCAGACTGGGCCAAGGAAGGGAGGAGGGAGAGCAGCGGAGGAAAGAATTAAATCGCCAAATGTGGGCCGCACGGGTGACTTCTTGCTGGCTGCCCCGAGATTGCGGCAACGGAGGACGGAGCGCCGCTGCAACGGCACCCCCCAGGGACAGCCAGCAGGCCAGACGACCTGACCACGTCGGCCTGCCGAGAAGCCAAAGAAGGCACCACGATCGGAGGTGAGACTGGGACGTGCTGTCCAAGACGGAGGGGCACTGGCCCGGGCCTCCGACGTCGCGCTTGCTTCGGGGCGCGGTGGAGCGCTCGACCCCCTTCGCCGCTGGCAAGTCGCTCGCGCGGCCCCGGCAGAGCCCGACCACACGGCCCCCAGAGGCCGAAACCACGCTTGGAGAAGAACACAATTGCATACACATCCACCACCGTGCCCTGGGCACGGAGTGGGCGTGCCCCCCGGTCATTCGCCTAAGCCCCCGAGCCCGAGTCCTCGTTCCTGAGGAGTCTCTTGGGGGCCCAGGCCCCAAATTCTCAAATCTCCTGGGGCTTGGCGCATCTTCTCGCGTGACTTGGGCCCACGAGGGCCCCTAAGACGGGCCAAGAAGGTTGGAAGGATTTTGGCGGTCTCGCCTTCCCGACTCTCCAAGACGGCCCAAGAGGCTCCCAAGATCGCCCCAAGGCGGCCTCAGAGGCCTCCAAGAGGGCCCCAAAACGGCTCCCGAGGGTCCCAAGATGGCCCAAGAGGCGCCCAAGACGGCCCAAGAGGCCCGGAAAACGGCTCCGAGAGGGGGCCCAGATGGGGGGGGGAGGGGGGGGGGGGGGGGCGAACATACATTTCGAGCCCTCGGCCTCGAGGGCCCCCCAGCAGGCCCCAACAAGCGCCCAAGAGGCCCCCAAGAGGCCAGGAAAAAACCTCAAGAGGTCCCACGAGGCCCCCCAAAGCCCCCAAGAGGCCCCAAGACTGCCCCCCAAGAGGCCCCCCGAGAGCGCTCCGAAGAGACCCCAAGAAGCATTCCTGAGAACTCTGAGCCAAAACCTGGGCATGGTGGCGGGATGGGCCAACGGCCATTTGATCCGCCGCCCCCTTTTGATTTATCAAAGGGGTGCCTGGCGTGCCGGATGATATGGGTTTTGGTTTTGGTTCTTTTTCCATAAGAATTCTGTTTTTTTCCAAAAAGAATTCCCCCTGGGGCTTCGGCCCGTCCCGCCGGGGTCCTGGGAGATTGCTGAAAACCTGGTTGCAAAGGTTTTTCCTGCTCCAGACGGCTCCAAGACGGCCCAAGATGATCTCTAAGATGGCCACGTTGGCCCAAGATGGCCTCCAAGATGGTCCTGGATGGCCTCCAAGTCCGCCCAAGATGGTCCAAGACGACCTCCAAGGCGGCCCAAGAGGAGTCCAAGACGGCCCAAGACGAGGCCCCCAGAGGCCTCCAAGACGGCCCGAGAGGCCTCCAAGAGGTCCTCCAGGAGGGCCCGAAGAGGCTCAAATCATAGATTTGCAGTAGGTCTTTGGAGGATTTTGGAATTTGCTTCTTCTCGGCATTCCGACGGCTCAAGAGGCCCCAAAGATCGCCCGAGAGGCCCCCAAGAGGGCCCCATGACGGCCCAAGTGGCCTCCAAGACGGCCCGAAGAGGGCCCCAAGACGACCCAAGAGGCCTCCAACACGCCCAGGATGGCCTCCAAGACGCCCAAGATGGCCTCCAAGACTGCCCTGGAGCATTCCAAGAGGGCCCCAAGTCGGCCCAGAAAGGCCCCCCAAACGGCTTCCGACGGCGTCAGACGGACCAGGAGCCCACCAAGACGGCCGAACATGGCCCTAAGATGGCCCAAGACGGCCCAAGAGGCCTCCAAGAGGGCCTCCAGGAAGGCCCGAAAAGGCCCAGATCATTCATTTCCCATGGGTTTTTGAAGTGGCATTTGCTTTTTTTCTGCCTTCCGACGGCCCGAGACGGCCCAAGTGCCCCCAAAGATCGCCCAAGACGGCCCAAGAGGTCTCCAAAACGCTCAAGATGGCCTCCAATACGGCCCAAGAGCCCTCCAAGACGTCCTCCAAGACGGCCCGAAAGGGTCAAAATGGCCTCCAGACGGCCAAGATGACCTTCAAGATGCCCACGTGTTCCCCAAAGGCTTTCCAAACCGATTCGGGGAACACATGGTCCGATAGCTTGGCAGGTCTGGCCTCAACGTTCGGCCACATAGGCGCTTCCAAAAAGCAGGGAGCGGCGTGATTCGCGGTAAGCTTCTTCGATCCGCCGCCCCCTTTTGATTTATCAAAGGGGTGCCTGGCGTGCCGGACGATATGGCTTTTGGCTTTGGTTCTTTTTCCAAAAGAACCCCCTGGGGCTTCGGCCCGTCCAGCCGGCCACCCGGAAGTGGTGGTTGCAAACGGTTTTCCTGCCCCAGACGGCCCCAAGATGGCCTCCAAGACGGCCAAGCTGCCTCCAAGTTGGCCAAGATGGCCTCCAAGACGGCTCAGATGGCCCCAAGATGCCTCCAAGACAGCCCAAGATGTACCCTAGACGGCCTAAGATAGCCTGAAGATGGCCCAAGACGGCCCAAGAGGCCACCAAGAGGCCTACAAGACGGCCCAAGAGGCCTCCAAGAGGTCCTCCAGGAGGGCCCGAAGAGGCCAAAATCATAGATTTGCCGTAAGTTTTTGGATAATTTTGGAATTTGCTTCTTCTCGGCATTCCGACGGCTCAAGAGGCCCCAAAGATCGCCCGAGAGGCCCCCAAGAGGGCCCCATGACGGCCCAAGTGGCCTCCAAGACGGCCCGAAGAGGGCCCCAAGACGACCCAAGAGGCCTCCAACACGTCCAGTATGGCCTCCAAGACGCCCAAGATGGCCTCCAAGACGGCCTCGAAGCGCTCCAAGAGGGCCCCAAGTCGGCCCAGAAAGGCCCCCAAGACGGCTCCCGACGGCGTCAGACGTGCCAGGAACCCACCAAGATGGCCGAAGTTGGCTCGAAGCTGGCCCAAGACGGCCCAAGAGGCCCCCAAGAGGGCCTCCAGGAAGGCCAGAAGAGGCAAAAAACATTGGTGCTCCTCAGGTTGTTGCCGGATTTTGACATTTGCTTCCTTTCGGCCTTCCGACGGCCCGAGACGGCCCAAGACCTCGGGAGCCTAGCCTTGCAATGGTCCACAGCAAAACAACTCCTCCTCCTCCTCCTCCTCCTCCTCCTCCTCCTCCTCCTTATAAATAACTTCTCCCTGTCGCACCCCGAAGCCAGTTTTTAGGGCGGGTCGGGCGTTTCGCCTGAGACTCCTCACCATTTATGACTCTGAAGCTTAAACATTGGCAATAGTTTCATAGATGGAGAGCGGGTCGTTTTCAAAATGTGGCTCGCGCCTTAGCGCGGCGCACGTTCGTTTTAAACATCTGCAAGAGTTTCACGGATTGAGGGCGGCTCCTCTTCAAAATGTGGCTCTCGCTTTAGCGCGGCGCCCGTTCGTTTCAAACAGCTGCAAGAGTTTCACGGATTGAGGGCGGGTGGTTTTCGAAATGTGGCTCTCGCCTTAGCGCGGCGTACATTCGTTTTAAACATCTGCAAGGGTTTCACGGATTGAGGGCGGCTCCTTTTCAAAAGGTGGCTCTCGCTTTAGCGCGGCGCACATTCGTTTTCAACAACTGCAAGAGTTTCACGGATTCCCATCATCGACGTGTCAGAAAACGTGTTTTGAAAGGGTTCAGGATTTATGCGGGCGCAACAATTATGTTGATTCGCAGTGTTGCAATCCCAAGAATGGTGTTCTGGCACGATTCAGGATTGTCAAGGCGCAACAATCAGGTTGATCCGTGGCGTTGGCATCCCGAGGACGCTGTTTTGGCATTCATCAGGGCCTTCGAACGATTGTCTTCCAACGAGGCAGTTCCCTCAGTGGACAGGGACCCTTGTGGGGTCCTATGAAGAGGGAGCTTGACATCGTTGATGACTTCTGGGTTTACACTGGTCCTTCTCCTCCTCCTCCTCCTCCCTCCTCCTCCTCCTCCTCCTCCTCCTCCTCCTCCTGCTCCGCCTCCCTCCTCCCTCCTCCCTCCTCGTCCTCGTCCTCCTCCTTCTTCTTCCTCCTCTCCTCCTCCCCTCCTCCTCCTCCTCCTTCCTCCTCCTCCTCCTCCTCCTCCTCCTCTCCTCCCTCCTCCTCCCTCCTCCTCCTCCCTCCCCTCCCTCCCTCCCCCTCCCTCCCTCCCTCCCTCCCTCCCTCCCTCCTCCTCCTCCTCCTCCTCCTCCTCCCTCCTCTGCCTCCTCTCTCCTGCTCCTCCTCCTCCTCCTCCGCCTCCGCCTCCGCCTCCGCCTCCGCCTCCTCCTCCTCGAGAGCCTCGCAGAGGTCTTCCCCGGGGGCCTCTCGGGGACCTCTCGGGAGCCTTCTCTCGCAGAAGGCCTCTCGGGAGCGTGCCGAGGCGGGCCCGCAGGGCGGCGGCTCTCGCGGGAGTTCCACGGGCGCCTTCTGCCCGCGGAGCCTTTTCCGGGGGGGCCTCCGGGGGTGGGTGGGGGGGGCCTCTCGCGTGGGTCTCGGGAGCTGTTCGGGGGCTTCGGGCAGCGTTTTCGCTGGATTCCTATGTGTCTGTCAGGGGCCCCCAGGAGCCCCTCTGGTACCTCTCGGGAGCCTGTCAGGAGTTTGTCTCAGGCCCCCCTCGGATCCCATCAAGGAGCCTTCTTCGAGCCTCTCGGCGTTGTCATCGCTTTCGTCGCCGACGTGTTCGGCCGCCCGGTTCGCCGCTCGAATCAAAACATCTGTTGAACACACAATACGCAATTGAAAATACTGCGCGGTGGGCACCGCTTTCTGTGGACTTTCCGATGGAAGCACGAAGCGTGAAAGGGGGTGTGCCGAAAAATATGCGGGTTATCGCACGTGGACCGTGCGAGGGGTGTGCCGAAATGGGCGGACGGCCGCGTGCACCCTGCCACTTGGGGCCTCCGGTGGAGCTCCCTATGTGGGGCTTCGAGACGCGGAAGGCGGGCAGGAAACCGTATGCGAACAGTGCCCCGGGTGCCGATCGGTAGGGCTCCCGATGGGGCCCCGAAGCGTGCGAGGGGTGTGCTGACATTAGCGGGGGGCCGCATGTGCACTTGGTCAGTGAGACCTTCGGTGGAACTCTTTATGGGGCCACGACACGCGTAAGCTGCGCGCCAAAATGGGCGGGGAAACACATGTGGACTTTGCCACTGGGGCCGTCGGTGGCGCTCCCTATGGGGTCACGAAGCGTGTGACGGGTGCCGAAAATGGTGGGAAACCGCATGTGGACTTTACCACTGGGACCTCCGGTGGGGCTCCTTATGAACCCGCGAAGCGTGTGAGGAGGGTGTGCCGACATGGGCGAGGAATCGCACGTGGACTTTGCTACAGGGGCTTTCGGTGCAACTCCCCATGGGGCCTCGAAGCCTGTGAGGGTGTGCCGAGCAGTTCGACATGTCGAGGGTAGGAAGCAAAAGTGGGGGGCAGGGAGGGAGGAGGGGGAGGAGGAAGGAAGGGAGGAAGGAGACGCGGGGACTGTCTTTTTAGAACGAGGACCCAACACCACGGGCTCCCCCTGGAAGAACAGAAGGAGCTCACCGCCGAGCCGCTGCCGACTCGGCGGCACGTCGCTGGCACCCGTGTGGGGGGGGGGTGTCCGACGCGTCCGGGCGGGCCCTCGGGGGAGGGCCCCGCGGCCCGCGGGTCCAGGGCCTGCGCGTCGAGGCCCAACAGGTTTCGGGGCTTCTCGGCCGAAAAAAGGCCCCCAACCCCGAGGACCTTCGGCCGCTGGCGCGCGACCTCCTGGGGCGCACCGTCGCGGCCCTGCTCTCGGGGGCGCGCAGGCGCGGATTAGCGTCAGGTCGGCCGTGTCCCCCTACGGGCAGATTCAGGACAAAACATAAACATGTGCAAACAAATACCCCCAAGTAGCCAAAACATGTTAAACAAATCGTCCCCGAAATATTTTCTGGACTATCTTTGAATATTCCCCCTGTAGACAGACACGCTCGACTGAAGATTCGCGATCCATGGATTTGGCGCGCGGTCGCCAAATTCATGAATCGGGGGAGGTGCCCTCCCCAAGATGCGGCTGGTGCCGCCCCGTTCGGCGTCGGAATTCCGCGATATCCCATGGAGGCGGGACTCGTCGCTAATCCACGCCTCCTCGGTCTATGTTTGCGACCGCCTGAAACTGGACATGGTCCCCTGGGTCCAAGCCCGACTCTGTTGGGGGCGGCCAAGACGGGGGGCGTCCAAGAGGGGTGCAAATATTGGCCGGGGGCATGTGCGCGGCCAAGGGGGGGGGCAGGGAGGTATTGAGATACGAAGAGGCGCCATGAAATCTGAGGAGATCTCATGGCCCCCGCCATGATATCCACCCCGCTATGCATCTGAGCATCGTTCATCCGCTCCCCATGCCCAGCGGCGTGGCCTGGGCCACACTGGCCGATGTACCCCCCTAGAGATGGGGGTCAGGGCCGTTCCCTTCGGGCTTCGAAAGGCATCTCCTCAACTGGGGTGCTAAGATGGTGGGGGTCTGGATCTTAATGGGCCCTGGGAGCGACAGGGCCGTTTTTTTTACCTCTTCCGTTTTGCCGTTTCTTCACCGGTTCCGACGCCGTTTTTTTACCGGTTCCGTCGCCGTTTTTTGACCGGTTCCGGCTCCGGTTTCAATCCTGGAGCCGTTTTTGTTGCCGCTTGCGGTCGCCGTTTTTTTGCCGCTTCCATTCTCAAGGGACCTTTCTTGGGGAAACGGTGAAAAAACGGCCCTGTCGTTTCTGGGGCCCACAGAGGTCCCGTTCATCCCCGCTCTTGGGGCCACGTCTCGCGGGTGCTGACGCAGGGGGGGCTGCGTCGCGCTGCCACGAGACGCTTCGAGGAGGCATTTACTCAAACAACAAAGCCGCGGCCTCGTCTTCTGCTGCTGCATCGAGCGGATCGTGTCGGCCTTCGGGGGGGGCTCTGGATGGGGATGGGGATGGGGATGGGGATCGGTGCATCACCCCAACGGTCTGGATGGGGATCGGTGCAACGACGCTGAGCATGGGGATCGGGGATCGGTGCAACGATGCTGGGCATGGGGATCGGTGCAACGATGCTGAGCATGGGGATCGGTGCAACGATGCTGGGCATGAGGATCGGTGCAACGATGCTGAGCATGGGGATCGGTGCAACGATCCCCTTCGGGGATGGGTCTGGATGGGGATGGGTGCAGCGATGCTGAGCATCACCCCCACGGTCCCCAGGGGTCCAGGCCCGGCGCCGGGGGGCCCTGCAGCGCGAGGGCGCGCCCACGCCCGCCCCGTGGGCCCCGGGGCGCAGAGGCCGAGGCCCACGGGGCCGCAGGTGCCACAGAGCCCTGGAGCTGCGGGCCCAATACTCCTCCTCCTCCTCCTCCTCCTCCTCCTCCTCCTCCTCCTCTTCCTCCTCCTCCTCCTCCTCCTCCCTTGCCCTCCTCCTCCTGCTCCTCCCCCTTCTCCCCCTCCTCCCCCTCCCCCTCCTCCCCCTCCTCCTCCTACTTGCCCTCCTCCTCCTCCATGCCGTCCCTCCTCCTCGGCGGGGCGACCCCCCGAGCCGGTTTCCTGCGCTCCTCCCACCGGCCCCGCCGGGCCCAGCTCCGCCCAAGGCTCGGGGGAGGACAGAATCCCCACGTTAGTAAAGCGTGGTCTGGTGTTGTGCTGCTCCCATCGTGCTTCAGGGCCACATCCCAAAAATGATTTCGAGCACCCAGAAAGAAGTGTCGAAAGAGTGTCCGAAGAGCGTCGAAACAGTGTCTCCCAGGGCCCGACACGTGAAAGCCCTGGAGCTTAGGGGTAATTTTCTGGCGCTCGAACTTCGCCCTTGTGATCAAGGCTAAAGTAGGTTGGAACATCACAAGTCTAGTGAAAACGGCCGCAGGCCCAAACCTGGCGGGCGCAAGCCTGGAAACTGACGGCCGCGGCGCCCTCTCGAGAACCGAAGACGGACAATTCACGAATCGACGTGTGAGGGTGGGGGTTCTGCCCACCCCCAAGTCAAGGGTCCATTGCTATTTCGACATTGGGCAAAAGGCCTCCCTGCATCCTAATCCTGGCAACTTGCGCTGCTCGAGTGGGAGAGTTCACTCCGCGCGCGGAATGCTGGTCGATGGCTTCCAGGGCGGCAAGCTGCAGTTACGCCCGAGAGGACATCAACGCGGCCCCGAGAGACGCCCCCACGCGAACCCCAGAATCGCACCAAGATGGCTCTCGCAACCAGAGGGCCCATCTGAGTCGGGGCCAGGCCAGGCGCCGCGGCATCGCAGAGAGCACCCCGCAACACGACGAACAACGCGCGCCGCCACGACATGTAAACAACCCGGAACATGTCAAAACTCACCTCTGATTCGCTTGAGGCCCGGTCCCCAGCTCCCCCCCTGTCGTCGTCGTCGTCGTCGTCGTCGTCGTCGTCGTTGTCGTCGCGTCGTCGTCGTCGTCGTCGTCGTCGTCGTCGTCGTCGTCGTCGTCGTCGTCGCTCGCGTCATCGTCGTCGTCGTCATCGTCGTCGTCGTCGTCGTCATGTCAAAACTCAGCTCTGATTCGCTTGAGGCCCGGTCCCCTGCACCGCAAACGATGCGAAAACACGGGGCGGAAATGTCCGCATCGGGAAAGTAGGGCGGACACTTCTGCAACAATGTGGCGGAAACAACGTTGGCAAATTAGGGCGGAAATCTACCTTCATGAGCTTTAGAACTGGGACGGCAAGTACCCGCCCTGCTCACGATCTCGTCCGAAGTACCGCGCATCCGAAGCTAGAGCTGGGCTCGATGTTTGGGCCAGAGGCCGAAATCGAGGAGAAACTAACCGATTGGACAACAACAAAAAACGCCGGCTTTGGGGTCATACCGGCGGCCGCTCGGCCGTTCGGGACGATCCCGGCACCCCCAGAACGCTCTCGGCGAGGCGCAGCTGCTGGAGAGCATTCCGAGGCTAGTGGACCGCCGAGAACCCACAGATAAACGTCTGAAAACCTCGAGCCTCGAACCCGACACTCGCGGAACAACTCCCAGACCCAGAGATCCGACGTCGTGTTTTTTTTTCAATACGGGGTCCCCGGAAGTCCCGACCCATTCCCCATGACCGGTTTTTCGCCCTGACTCGTTTTTGGACGGCCCTGGGGCCCGGCGAGGGCCCCTGGAGGCGACAAATAGCGGAAAACCTCCCGTCGTGATTCCTTACGACTCGATGGGGTCTGGCTCCCAGATAGGAGACACCAACGACCATCTGACGTCCGTGGGCGTCGGAGGCCTCGGGCGGCAGGCGCGGGCCCGCACCGAGCCTAAGGCTGCGGGCGGCGATGGCGGGTCCCCCCGCGGGGGGGGGCGGTCCGGCCCCGACGCCCTGCCCCCCCCCCCGCGCCCGGTGCGGGGGCGCGGAGGCGCGCGAGGGGAGGACGCCGGCCGTCCCACTTCGAGGAGGGGGGCGGGGAGGGGGAGGGGGGGGAGGAGGGGGAGGAGGGAAAGGAGGAGGATGAGGAGGAGGAGGGGGGGGAGGAGGAGGAGGAGGGGGGAGGAGGAGGAGGAGGAGGAGGAGGAGGAGGGGGAGGGAGGAGGAGGAGGAGGAGGAGGAGGAGGAGGAGGAGGAGGAGGAGGAGGAGGAGGAGGAGGGAAGCAGGGAAGCACTGAAGAGAAAACGTCTGCTCACAGACACCACTCTAAGAGGGAAAGGGAAAACCCCAGACACCCAGTCACCCCGTTAGGGACTGCCCAGTCTTGGGGTGCTTGCCTCTCTGGAGAGCACTGAGGACTGACCTCCTGCTCTTGGGCAAGTCTTTGGGGTCAGGGCAGGGGGAGCTGAAAGCCTTCCCCACCCTGACGGACCCGTAGGCCCCGCACCGCCGACACCAGACGACCGTGCCCGTGGCGGTGACGTCGTGTCCCCCAGGCGCGTGACCCCACTCCGCCGCCGCAGGCCCCCCAGAGCCCGCAGCACGCCCCAGCGGGGCCCCAGCCTCGCCCTCGCGGGCAGGCGCAGGCCCCCCACGCACGGCCTCCGCAGAGGCCAGAGACGCCGAGCCCCCAGACTCAGCCCCGCCAGAAGCCCCAGCCCCGCCAACGCAGGCGGGCACAGGCTCCCCCAAACGCACCCCAGCCGAGTCCCCAGCCACAGCGGCCCCGAGCCCAGCCTCAGCAGGAGCGGCCCCAGCCGAGGCCCCACCCCCACAAGCGCCCCCAGGCCCACCAGACAACCCCCCCGTAGACCCCCAGCGGGCCGTCGGCGGCCTCGCGGCGGCACTGGCGGCAGCCTCGATCAGATTTGCCTGCATTCGGGAGATCATAGAAGGCGCACAACGTCGACCCGTGCCTCCCGTCAACTGTCGGCGAGCTTCAGCGGTCCTCGCTGTGCGACGGCATCGTCGACACATGAGCCTCCCTCGAATCTCGATGAGGTCATGTTCGTGTACTAGCAGCACTATTCTGGCTCCACCGTCCGAGCTCTGCTTGGGGCCGCCGTCAGGACAGCCTTCTCAGCCCACAGGTCAAGCTGGGAGCTTCTTTGGACCGCCCAAAACAAATACTTGGCGTACTGGGCTGCCTCAGTCAGCGAGTCCTTATAGAACCTAGCATGGGCCTCTGGGAGCTTGACCGAGAGGGCTCCTATCTTGGCAAAAAAGTCGGCCCAACCATTTCCCACGACCCAGAGGTAGGGAGGGGGCGGAGGGTCCTCAGGAGCGGGGAAGAGAACCGCATCCTCAGTCCTGTGTGACGGGACCCGTGCAACAGCGGGTGGCGTTCTTTTCGGCGCCACCAGCTGACGCCGCACTGCAGGGCATGCACGGCTCGCATCTGTGAGGGCCTCCGTTCCTCCTCGGCCCCACAGCTTGCCTTCATTCACAAATTCCAGCAAGTCAGAAATCACGCACTGGACCGATGGCATGTACTGAAGGGCCTTGAGGCCCGCAACACGCTCAGCGCGGCCCACTGTCTGCTGCGCGCCAGCGAGCCCGCCATACAACGCGCGAGTGGGGACTCCATTGGCGTTCAACATGACAGCGGACCATCCACACCGACGGAGCTCAGGATACTCGTTGTGGTATCCCGAGCCATCCGTAAAAACACACTCACTCCACTGTTCGGGATCCGACTCCCAATCACCCCGCAAGAAGCAGGGAGGCGACTCAGGAGGCTGCGGCACTTCAACCTTGGGCCACCTCGGGATCCCGACCGAGAGGGTGTCGCGAGCTGCGGCCAACTTGGGATCAATACCACAATCTTCTTCATCGTCCAACAAGCGCTGCGCCAGCTCTGGGCACTCCACGAAACAGTGGCCAAGCGTCTCAGCCCCGTGCGGGCACGCTCGACACTTCTGATCATCACACATTCCTTCGCTATACAACTTAGCCTTCGGCCAGAGAGAGCCAGACCACAGACTGCGCAGAGCTCCGACCCTCCCCGCCCCAGTCACCGCCGCCCCCCCCCGCCCATGCAAGCTCGCAGGCCTCGCGGCCAAAGAGGCGCGGCGGCATCGTGGTGAGAGGCAATCTGGCGCATTTGCCAACGCTGGATCCCCTGCCTTAGGAGATCTCGAAAAAAGCGAGGCGATGTGGCTAAGAGCGAAATCACTGGCCCCACGTCAGGCTGGATCAGCACCGACGACAGCACCACCCAGCCGATCCGCTTGAGCGACAGGGCGACCACCTTGAGCGGCCCGCGCGCTGACGCCCACGTCAGCTTGTCCTCGCCCGCCTCGGCCTTGTCCAGCGTCGCACGCCAGGCCTTCTCCAGCGCGCCCATGGGCACCGCCTGCTGCCACGCGACCGCAGCGTAGTGCATGAGCGGCTCGACGGTCGCCGCGAAGACTGGGTCGTGCCAAGGGTTCCGCTCGCTGGCCAAGTAGAGGGCGCTGCTGCCACCTCGCCCCTTGGCTCCAGCAAGTCGGGCCGTCTCCGAGCGCAGCGCGGCCAGCTCGGAAGGGGCCGCCCCGCTCACCGCCGCTCCATGGGCGGCGGCAGGCAGCAGGCCCGTCTGCCACAGGCGCGCCGCACGCCCTCCAGCCGCTCGTCGTAGCCTCGCCGCGCGCCTCAGCCGCGGCCTCGCATTCTTGAGTCTGGCCTTGACGACCTTTCTGCAGGCCTTGGTCCCGTTCAAGTCGTGACCAAGGTCCCTCGTGTGCGGCTGCGAGCCCATCCTGAGTCGCCTGCAAAACTGTGCTGCTGCATCGCGACTCTGCCTGGACGTTGCCACGTAGCCCGGCTTGAGCTCCTGCAGCACGAGGCCCGCGTCCCCGAGGTCATGCTTGAAGCGCTTGACGGCCTGCCACAAGACGCGCGCGCCTCTCATATCCGTGCCGACCCACTGGACGGATGTGTCGTCGGCCAGCGTGCGCGGGATCACGTCATACGTCGCCAGCCGCCGCAGGGCCCGCGCCGTCGCCACCACCAGCGCCGCCACCGAGTGGGAGCAGCCCGCTATGATGCCCTGGTGCGCCGTGAAGCTCTTCGACATCTAGCCGAACGCCTTGATACGCCTCGGCAAGTGGTGATACCTGAGGATGGCCCACATGAGGCGCAGTGGAAACCCCATCGCTCGAGCCTCGTCCAGCAGCCTGCCTCCAATCAAGCTGTCGAACGCCTTCCATGCATCTAGGAGCACAGTGACGCTGTGTCCTCCGTTGATAGTCATGATCTCCGCCGTCAGGTTGTGGTGGGACGCCGCCGCCGTCGAGGTCCTGCCAGCTCCACCTGTGCCCCAGAGATTGGGCACTTCTGCCTGGCCGAGCCAGGCCCGCGAAATCGTCGAGCGCGCCTTCGCCCACAGACGGAGGAAAGAGTTCACGAGGGCAATCGGCCTGCACCCCCCGCTCGCCTTGGGCAGGCGCACCAGCACTGTGTGCACCCTGTCGGACGGCCATGCCCCCAACTTCTCGCACTGGCTCAAGAGCGCCGATCGCACGTAAAGGCCGATGTCGCTGAGGTGCCAGAGGGCCCGTGGTGCAATGCCCGTCTGGCCCACCGCGGTGCGCCCCTTGACACGCAGCGCCGCGCGTCTGAGGTGGCCGACGCCCATCCGCGGGAGCTCGGCCCAGTCGTCAAGGTCAAGTGGCTTCTCCAGGGCGCCCTGCTCATGGGCGGTCCACGCGCCCCTCCGCCCATCGAGCTCGCGGTCCGCCAGCTGGCGCGGGCTAGCCCTCGTGGTGGCTCCACGGGCCTCAACCTCAGGAGGTAGCCTCGTGAAACGGTGTGCAGCACCCGCCCCGCCTGCGAGGCTCTTGGCCGCCCACGCGCGCCACTCCTTCTCCCGCTCGCCATTGTAGCGCCTGGTGAGCCGCTCGGCCTCCGCCACGATCTTCTCGACCTGGGCGGTCCACATCCTCTTGCTCATCTGGCCCGCGCCACCCAAGAGCCACTGCGCGACGTCATCCGAGAGCTGGCTGAGCACGCGCTGCGACTTCGCCACATTGCCGTAGTAGAGGTGGGTCTCGAGGATGAGGTCCACGGCCCTCTCGATGCGGTCATCCAGGTCGCACCCGAGCAACTTGACCAATCGCGTGCGCGCAGCATCCAGAAGCCGAGCCCACCTTGCCGCCACCATGTGGGCGCTGACCTTCGGGTCGCACAGCTTCCTCCGTCTCGGCGGCTGCCGCGTCGGCAGGGCAAGCTTGAAGACAGGCTCGCCCGCCCTGCCAGGTGTGCTGCCGCCTCTCCACCCCCGTGAGGTACCAGCGGCTGCAGAGCTCGGCCTCCGCCACGCCGACGACCGCGCCCCACGCCTGCGCCGGGAGGCCAGGCTCCTCCGCCGCGGGGACCTGCTGCAGCGCCGCCAGCCACCCTCGGTCATGAGGAAAAGGCGCTGCGCCCACTGGCGGCACCGCAGTAAACCCCCTCGGCTCGACGGCGACCCTGACGCGGGCCTCGCGTTCGACCGTGGCCAGGTTCACGTGCGCGGGGACGTGTGGGTGCAGCGCCGCATCCGTCGTGACCCATGCCTCGCCTAGCCTCGGGTCCAGGTTCGGCGCCGCGATGAGGTAGTCCAGGTGGGGGCCCCCCACCGTCTGCCGGCAGGTCGGCTCGGGCGGGGCGATCGGGGCGCCCCGCACCTGCTCAAGCCAAGGCCCCTTCAGCTCCTCGAGCTCCATGTTCCAGTCGCCCATGACGACCCAGTCCAGCCCACGCGCGTTGAGCACCTTGAGGTAGCGCTGCAGCTCGTGGACCGTGTCCGAGTTATCCTCGTCCATGCCTACTGAGTGCCTCAAGTAGACCACCACAACGATGATGCCACCCTTCACGCCCCAGTGCACGTAGCCCGCCACCGCACGCGCCTCCTCAAGGACGTGGGAGGGCGTGAAGGGCGGCGCTGTCACAGGGATGACGTTGCGCGTGAGGAGCGCGACGCCGCTCGAGACCTCCAGCGGGCCTCCGCCTGTGGCCGCACCTGGGGCCCACAGACCATGGAAACCCAGGTCCTTCACCTGGCCCTGCAGGGAACGCAGCTTGTCACCCAAGACGCGGTGTTCCTGCACGCCGAAGATGTCGCCCTTCGGGTCCTCCGCGAGGTACCCAGTGAGCCCTTTCGCACATGAAACATTGACCGTGGTCAGCACCCCTTTGACAGTGTCCACACTGCCACCGTACTTAGTATTACCAGATACTCCCATCATCATACTGAGTATGGTACTCCAGAACAACCCAAGCCTCGGCACCTGGCGCCTAGTAGGCACGGTAGGCCCAAGCACTGACAGCCGCCGCGATCTGGTGCGCCTTGGCCCTGATCTCCGCTTCCTCAGTGGGGACCTGGACTCCAGCGGCCGCGATGCTGTCCCGCAGCTGCTCGAGGGGCGCCTTGTCCGCCGCCATGCGCAGTCTCTTGGCGTCAGGCGGTGTCGCCGCCACGCCGCCAGGATCCCCATCGCCAGCAGGCCGCACGCGCGTCGCAGCCCTAGGGCCGAAAGGCGCCGCAATCTTGGGGTGGGCCAAGAACTTCTCCGTCACCTCGCCCGTCGCCCCAAGCTCCTTGAGGAGGTCAGCCAAGCCATCGAGGTTCGGCGCGCCTCCTGGGGCCCCCGCGGACTCCTTCGCATCGGGAGGCTTGGGCACCTGGGCGCTGAGCGCCCGCACCTGCTCCTCCAGCTCGGCAGCATCAGCACGCAGCTTCGTGCCCTTCTCACGCTCGGCCTCCAACGCGGCCTGCGCCGCAGTGACTGCCTCCTGCGCCTTGGCCACCGCGGCATCCTGCCTGCCGATAGCATCCTGCTTGGACTTGAGCTTCTTCTGGAGCGTGAGCAGCTGCGCGACAACGGGCTTCTTGGCGCGCACCTGCTCCGCCAAGACCTGCCGCTGAGCCGCCAGCTGCTCGATTGTGTCGAGAATTTCTTTCCCTGGGTCGGAGACGCCTCGCAGCACCCGTAGCTGGCAATCAAGATGTTCGATCTTGCGCTGCTCGTCTCTTCCCTCAGCGCCCTCCTCGGCGTCGGCACCGCTGGGCGCCTCCGCCACGGGGCCCTTTTTGCCCTCCGCGCGCAGGGTCTTGAGCTCCTCCCGCAGCCTGGTGAGTTCCCTCTGCATCGCAAGGTGTTACCCAGCGGCGCCGGCGCCTGCGCCACCACCAGCCCCCGAGGTGCCGCTGTAGCCGCGGCGCAGACCCTCCTCCCCACGGACATGGCCCAGGAAGGTGCGGTCCTTGGCGCCTCCGCAGAAGTGGCAAAGCTGCTTGGTGCCGAACGTGATGCACGGCATGCCGATCTTGGGCCCACGCACGTACTTGCAGAAACGGCAGTACCAGTCGGGCTTGGTCTCACCGCCACCGCTGCGGCCCCCAGGCGCCATGGTCCCTCGCCTGCTCGGGAGAGCAACGAGGCCAGCCACAGGGCCAGAAGGGTCGGAGCCAAAACTGTCGGGCAGAATCGCCCTGGCACTGGCCGCGAGGAGGAGGAGGAGGAGGAGGAGAAGGAGGAGGAGGAGGAGGAGGAGGACAAGGGAGGAGAGAGAGAGGAGATAGAGAGGAGAGAGAGAAGATATAGAGAGGAGAAAGAGGAGAAAGAGGACGGAGGACGAAGGACGGAGGAAAAAGAGGAGAAAGAGGAGAAGGAGAAGGAGGAGGAGGATTGGGAGGGAGGACGGAGGGGAAGGAACGACCGTGCCGAATGAGTTCGTGTCACGGCGCGGCAGCGAGCTAGAGACCAGCGGCGGCTTTCGCAGCTGCCAGAATTGTGAAGTGAGACGTGGGTGTGATGGGAACGCCCCATCGCGCATCATACTCTACCTCGAGTTTGTGACACGTGTGCAACACCAATACATTCGTCAGATGCAGACGGGCACGGTGGTACTCCCGCTCTGAATATGGTTCCATGCCCGGCCCGAAACGAGTAATGAGGGAGGCGGGCAGGTGGCCACGAGAAAGCGAAAGTAGGTGAAGCAAGCGGGGACACGAAATGAGAAGGGGGACGATTAGGAGGAGCGGGGGGGAGGAGTGACGGGGGGGGGGCGAGGAGGAAGAGGAGGAGGAGAAGGAAGAGGAGCAGGAGGATGAGGAGGAGGATGGGGAGGAGGAGGAGGAGGAGGAGAAGGAGGAGGAGGAGGAGGAGGAGGAGGAGGAGGAGGAGGCCATTCTTTCCGCGAGGCCATTTCTACCAGCAGGGCCCGGAGGCCCGCCCACGCCCCGCCGCGCGCGCCGCCGCCGCTCGGGGCCTCCGGGCCGACGCAGCAGGGGGCGCGGGCCTTGGCGCGGACGCCTCGGCCCTCGCCCGCCTCCTCCCTCCCGCGCGGCCCCCGCAGCACCGGCGGCCTGCGCTCTCGCGCCGAGTGCCCAGGCACGCGAGGCGAGCCCCGCCAGGCGGGCCCGCGGCGCGAGCGCGGCGACGTCCTCCACGTCGCGCAGGGCTCATCGTGCCACGTCGCTGGACGAGCACGCCCCGCGCAGGGGGGCCACCGCAGGGCATGCTGACAGCAAGTGCCCGAGGCACTCCACGAGCGTGCACCCCTCCGGTGCCGCAGCAGCGCACAGGAGGGCACGCGCTGGGGACCACGGCGCCCCCCTCGGCCAGCCACACTTTTACCGGGGGGCGGCCCGACGCCCGCGCGAGTGCCCAGGCCTGGTAAAAACGCAACATAGCACGCCCCGACGGCGCCCACCGTACACCAGCGGTAGCGGCTTACGGACTGGGATCAATTCCCGGTACGGTAAGAGACCACCAGTTCCCACAGCGCCCAGCTGCAAAACGAACCACGCCTGCTCGTAAGCCTGGACCGCCGGCAACACCACCGAGCGCTTCCAGTGCTGGACGGCCTGCTTGCGCGCCTCGGGGTCCGCGCGGGCCACCTCGGAAAGCGCGCCCGCAGGGAAGCCAGAGGTAATGCCCAATGCCCTGGTCACCTCGGTGGCGTGGCCCAACCAAATAGCACCCGTCGTCGCACGCGTGCCCGCCACCACCTGCGCCACGGGACTCCCGGGCGGCAACGCAAGCAGCCGCGCCCGACTGAGGGCGATCCGCTGCATGAGGGTAGTCCCCCACCGCGTCAGCATGCGCGTCTCCGCCAGCGCGCGAACGTGCCCGCCTGTGCCCAGGGACACCCCTGGCCGCCCACCAAGCAGCATCTTGGCGACCTCGAACTGCGTGTTGTTCACGCGAGTCACCGCGGCCTGCCACCCCGGTGCGAAGCTTGCCAGCAACTCCGCGCCGTAAAACGCCTTGGACACGACCCGCGCCGGGAGCTGCGCCTCCTGGTGCGGTAGTCCAACCTCGCTGCGCGAGGGCAGCCGCAAGCTTGCGCGAGCCATCGCGCAGCCGCGAGCACGCGCGCCCGAGCAAGGCGTGAAACCAGAGATCATGCTCCACGGGGACGCCCAACATGTCGAGAACTGGAGTGACCTCCGGCGGCACACCGCACACCGTGCCAAGGTTGTCCGACTCCAGGCCCCGCCCCCACGGCGAACACCATGGGGCGCTTGCGGCCGCGTTGGAAGCGGCGGCGCCAGGTCAAGCAAAACCCCGCCAGGGCACGGTTGACAGCAGCCATCCCGGCGGACGACGACTGGAATACGAACGAGTCGTCCACGAATTGGAGGATCAGGAGCGCATGCGCGGCCACGACATCGAGTAAGGCACACCTGTCCGCGAAAGTACCGAGCGCCTGGAGATGCTCTGGTCCCAGAGGGGCCCCCGAGGGAGTCGCCGCCGCTGGCGGGGCGATGCCGACGCCAACGGCCACGGCGGAGCAAGCGTTCAACCATGCTCGTACCAGCGCGCTGAACACGCGCACTCCCGCCCGGCGGCCCTGTCCGACGCCGAACTCAGTAAGGGCAGCCGCAGCCCCCACAATCCCGCCGACACGCGCCCGAAGCGTTTCGGATCCCAGGGCCGCATCAGCAACCAACCAGAGGTGACCCCCCAACCCGGCGCGGCGCAAGTGCACTCGCACGGCATCCCGCCAAGCAAGGTCGCACCCATGTTCCAGGTCAGCCTTCTCCACGAGGGTGGACAGCCCGCGCGCCCCACGGATCTGCAGCGCCATGACCATGCCGATCGCCATCAGGACGGAATCGCACTCCCCCCCGCCTGGGGTGCGCCCGCATGCGCCTCCAGCTGGCCTCGGGCAGCCCGAAGCCACACGGCGTCGAACGTCCCGCATAGCTCGTCCACGTGACTGACGGGGCGGAGGTGGGCGACGTCGGCCACTACCACGGGACCGCGTTTCTGGATGGGCGCGACCTCGCGCCGCCATCCAATTGGCATGAGGCCCGAAACCACCACCAAACACAGCAACGCCCACGTGACGAGCCTCCCACCCCAGAGTTCGGTGAGGACGGCCGCGCGCGGGAGGTGCAGAGAGCGCCGGTTCCCCTTCATCTCCCTGAGGACCGCGTCGACGTCATCCAAGGAGAACGGGTCATGCATGCCCGAACCTGCTGCCACCGCTCCAGCTTCCCTGCGCGCCTGACGGACCTCATCGGCCACGGCGCGATTCAAGGCTGCGTCGCCAGCCCCAGCCTGTACCCCGCGTGACAATACATCCCCGGTGATGACCTCCAGCGCGTCGGCCACCCCCAAGACGTCGCCCGACGCCTGGCGACGCAGGGCCAACTGTACCGGCAGGCGGGGCTCCGATGCGCGACTCATGAAACTTTCCGCCTCCCCCGGCGACGCCGCTGCGAGTTCGAGCTGCCGGTCGAGAGGTCTGGCGGCGGCTTTTCGGGCGGGCGGGCCCGCCTCGCCAGCGACAGCCGCGGCCTGGGCCGCCCGAAGCTCCTCAATTCATTCGCCCTCGCCGTCGTCGTCGCGGCCCTCACCGGCAGCGCCCGCTTTCCGAGGCCGGCCGCGCGGCCCGCGCGCAACCTCCATGCCCGAAGAATGACCAGCGAGAGTGTAGACAACAACCCTCCACCATACCACCCGGTCGGGCAGGCCCTGCCGCGTGCCCAGGCAGCGCCCCTCGACTGCCCAGCGACGGACGACGGCTGACCGCATGGCCGCACCTGCCCAGCCCACCAGAAATCGAAGGGCGAACGGTAGCAGTAGCAAGGCCTCCCCCCAGTCGGCGTAACGGTCCCACCTCGCGAAGCCCACTTCCGACTCCCCCGTGCAATCCACCGCCCCCGCGACCGATGCATCGACCCGGCGATGATCGCTGCGCATCCCTGCGTCCGCGGGCGCCACCACTGTGACCTCTGCCACCAGCTCCGGCGACGAGGCCACCACGTCGCTGCTGGACCCCGACGCGTGCGTCGGGCACCCAACAGGGTTGCGGACCACGGGCCCGAAATCGAACGCGTCGTGCAACCGCCGCCACAGAGCGCGATCCAAATCCTCCTCCAGGCGCCTGTTGATACCGCCCAACGCCGACAAAATGTAGATTGAAGTCGCCCGCCACCAAGAACGACCAGCCGAGATGGCACGGGCGGGCGCGGAGCTGGCGCCACTCCTCCAGGCGAGTCCTCCAGAGAGCTCGGCGGGCCCCCGCGCCGCCATTGGGGGGTGGCCCATGAACCCCCGAGAATAAGAACCCAGTGCGGGCCGAACCTCCCATGGATCCGGCAGCCCAAACGGCCCGTGCATCCCCCACCCCCTCCTCGGGAGCGGCCAAGAGGGGGGTGTCCAAGAGGGGGGGTGCAAATCATGACCGGCGGCATGTGCGCGGCCCAGCGGGGGGGCCAGGGACGTAATGAATTAAGAAGAGGCGCCATGAAATCTGGAAAAATATCATGGCCCACGCCATGATATCCACCCCCCCCTAGTCATCACCCCCCTCTTTTCCGCCCCCGACCTCCACGACTTCCACGCGACGGCCGATCTGGTCCAGGACGAGCAGAGCGACAGCGTCCGGAGGTACACTGCGTTCACCGTGGCACGCGCACCCTGCCCGGCGGGGCCAGCGGCCGCCGGGGGGCCAGCCTCGGCTCGGAGAGGACTGCTGGGACCGCCCCTCCGCTGTGGAACGATGCGACAAGGTCGCGAATCCTGCCCTCATGAGCTCCTTCACTAGGGAGCCCACAAAGGACGTACGCGCCCAGCTATGTACATGAACACGGCCACTCGATTCGCGAGACTGGCCGCGTTATACGAACATTTGTGCATTGCGTGCTCTCGAAACCAGCGTGGATTCATGTACATGTACGTCCTTCTTTCGCTCCTGATTCACCACGTCTGGAACCCAACCCGCCCTGCACGTTTAACGCGGATACTACTCGATTCAAGGCGCGCGCGCTGGCACCACCGCGTCCTGCGCCAGCTCGTGGGCCGGCAAACCCCCCTCCCGAGCCCCGTGCACGGGATTGGTGGGGACGTCCCTCGCCTGCCAAACCATCCGGGCTTCCACTCGAAGGCACGCTTCACGCGCCGCCCCCCTCAAACATCCGACAAGCTTCCAATTTCGAGGGCACGCCGGAGAGACCGTGCGGGGGCTGCGCTCCCAGGAGGGCCCGCGCGTCCCGCCTGCAGGAGATCGATCTCCAGGCCCCCGCGCGGCCGCTGCCACCTGGAAGCGCCCTCTCGGCCAACTCCCAGAGTTCAGCCGCCGCGCGACTCGCCTCCTCGCGGGTCGCCCAGCTAGCCCGCGTGGCCGCATCAGAGGGGCCCGCCCCGACGCCACCACCCGACGCGCCCGCCATGGCGCGTTCTGCGGGTGGGGGGCATCCTGCCCCCGCCGCGCAGTGCCATGCGCGAGCTGGGCCGAAACTTGGCAGCAGAACAGGCGGCGAGAAATACCATTCCAACCCCCCGCGCCTGCCGGGCCTCCTGGCGGGGCAAACGTCACAGCGGGCACAGCCCTGCGACGCCGCGCATGGCACAACCTCGCAACGGAGGGGGGGAGCACGACGACAGAGAACCGAAAAGACGCCCCGCGCGGAACATAACCTCCTTATCGGCAGAGGTCGCAGGAGGGCATGGATTACCCCAT